GAATTACAACCCGGTGAGGGTAATGATGCAACTGAGATAGTTGCAAATGTGAGCAAGAAAAAAAGAAAGAGAGAATTAAAGATATCAAGTGCAGGTATATGACAATAAGAACTAGATCATCACCAAATTTGATTGTTAAATCACTGGCTGTGATGACTGAAGTTCAGAAAGAGGAGATACACAAAATGGGTTTTGGTGCATTGTTTAAGCTGCAAATTTGTGAAATACCAGGAAAGTTGGGTTTTTGGGTGGTTGATAACTTCAACCCGAAAACATGCTCAATGGTGCTGCACAATGGTTCAAGGATGTAGCCCGCGTTTTGGGATTTCCATTAGGAGGCAAAAAAATAATACAAAAAAAGGAAGAACGAAGAATGTGCATTGCTTACACAGTGGAGAGCAATATTTGAGAAAGATGATTACAAAATCAACCCATCTGATGTAAGCGAAGAAATGCTTAGCATCAAAGAAGGTGGTGAGTGGTTTTGTAGGCATTTCATTGTTCTTCTTGTATCACTGCTTCTGGACAGCACACAAAATGACTATGTGAATCCAATTATTATAAATCATTTGGAGGATGTTGAAAAGATCAAGGAGATAGATTGGTGTGACCATGTACTCAATGTGCTAATTGATAGTAAAATATCATGGGAGAAGAAGAAGGATAAGGCATTCAGTGGTCCATTACTATTTTTAACAGTAAGTTTAACAACTAGACTTAACATGATTATTGCATTTTCAAGTATATTTTTATTCATAGCTTGTAAAGTGTAATAACAATAAATTGTGGTGCAATTGTTCTATGTTGACAGAGTGGTGTTGTGTAGGAGAAGAGTGGATAGGACTTTACCTGTGCTCAAAGGGTGGAGTGGAAAGCTTCTCAGAGAGAGAGAATTGCTTGAAATAGAGAGTGGCGGGTTCGGGATGGGGTACTGTGATGACCCACTGATATTTGAAGACTGTTTGGAGAAGGTTGAATTAAAAGAAGGGAAAGAAAGAGATCATGAAGATGGAAGTGGACATGGAGTAGATGTGCAATGTACTGGTGGTGACAATGATGAGGTAATGTTAACTAGAATTCTGATTCTGTTATGCTAAATTTAGCATCTATTTGTGTGCAAGTGTAAAAATGAAAGGACAAATAACTTGAATGTATAAAAACAAGAATATGTTAAGAGATTTGCACATAAAAGCAAAGTGTTGGCATCAGCTGTGATTGATGTGCTCAAGATGTTTGAAGAAGCACCTAAGAGCTTAACTGAAAAGGAAAATTTCATAAGGATCCAAGAAGCTACACGAGAACTGATTGGTGTAGGGAAGACGAAAAAAACAGTTGATTGTACGGAAGAAACTAATGCAAGAAATACTCAGGAGAAAGCAGATGATGCATTCTAGGCTGAAACCATAGCTGCAGTGGAGAGGCTGGAAAATGCAAATCAGGAAAAGAATTCATACGAGAAAGGAATTGAATATACTCCTTCTTTTTCAATTGGATTGACACAGGAAAATCATCAACAGTTTAGCACTGTATCTGATTTGTGCGCCGAAATTGAGAAAGAAGTGAATGAAGATTTGGTATACACGTAAACGCTAACTCATATTATATTTAATGGTTTTTAACAAATAATGTAATAATTTTACATTTTTTTGAAGGTTCAAGGAGAAGAGAATGTGACAAGGGAGATGGAGAAGAGGAAGGAAGCGATGTTGACAGAAAATATTGTTGAGGTAAACAGAGTAGAAATATTTTTAGAGTATTCATTTTTAATAAAAATTAAGAAGAACCAAATATGCATTTGGTTAAGCAAACTCTGCATTGTTTACTATGAATTTGAGCATATAATACTTAATGTTTAAAAGTAAAAGAAGTATCTTTATTTTAACTATTATGAAGGTTCATGAAGATGGAGATATTAGAAGTAAGAGTGTGAAGGGGAAGGAAAAAATTGATGAAGTAAGTAAAATTTAAATATTTTCAAAGGGTTAGTTTTTATTTTGTGAAAAACTTATGACATCCAAATTTGCAATTAGTTATGCGTAACTGTGCATAAAGTATTATTTTATATTTTTCTTAAGGTGCGAGTCGAGAGCGGTGTGAGATTTGTGGATGTGAAGGGAAAGATTGTTGAGGTAAGTAACGTTTACATATTCATGTATGAAAAACTTGATTGTTTTTTAATAGTTAAAGATCGTAGATAGCATGTTAATTTGTGGTAGCATAATGACATATAATTGAAAAGTGCATTTAAATTGCAGAACAAGGAACAGAATAAAAGGGTCACAAGGAACGCTTTGGTTATAGGAAAAAGTGAACTGGAATTGAGATCAAGAAGGACACGAAAGCCAACTCAAGTTACGAAGTCTTCTTTTATTGCACGAGCAGTTGACCCTAATCAACCCTCATGCGCAAGTGACAAGTTGATGTGGAAATGGGTCATGCAAGAAGGAGCTGATAAGAGGTATAACATATAAAAAACGTTGTCAAGTATAAAACTTTATAATTTTAGTGTTAAACATTCCATTAAGTTATGTATTATTTTGTGCAAAATTAGGGGATAGATTTTGTTCAAGTATAAACACGTTTCAGTGACACGGGGTGACATGATTAGTCTAGGGGATAAAAAGCACATGAACATGAACATGAACATGTTAGATGTGTGGACAATATGCTTGAATGATAATGAGAAACCACGAAGTCAAACATCACTGTGCAGACTGTTTGTGAAATCGTATCCCTATGTAAGTGTTATGAATGTAAATGCATTAATTCGGTTTCAAAAGTGCATATTTTGATAAAGGTTTTTGCAGTTGAAAAAAATGCCAGGCCGAATCTCAGAAAACAAGTCTTACGAAGTGTTTAAACAAGGAATAGAGCTGGCATTGGAATCAGTTAAACCTGATGTACAAATGAAAGATGTTGATTTGGTAAAAATCGTTTAAACTTGTAAGCACAAATAATTTCTTTTAGTGGAATCGTGTGTATATAATAGTGAAATGTCTTCAATGTGCAGTTCTTCTTTCCAATTGTTCAACCAGAACATTGTTATGTTGTGGTTTTTAACATGAAAAAACAGCAAGTTGAAGTGTTGGACAACTCCTTGGTGAACATGCACTTTGATGAAAAGTATGGTGAAATGCCGTATTCCGTGGTCAGTGTAGTGCACAATACAAATAAAAATGAAATTTTTAATGTATATTATGGTTTACAGAAGTTATGTATATTTTAATTTAATAAACTGTTTGTTGAAAATGTTGAATACAGAGAGACATGTTTGTTGATTTCATGACCGAAATGGAATTGGATACCAACGACAACACATTCTACACACCTACTATGACAAGATTGAACATGAGGTGGAGAGAACCAAGGAATGTGTATGATTATGGAGTGTGGAGCATGAGATATATGGAGACATACATGGGCCAAGGGACTAGAGGATGGGATTGTGGAGTTAAAAAAGGTGATGCAAAGGCACTGAATGCATTGAGAATGAAATATTGTGCATCAATTTTGACCTCAGCTATTAACGAGGTCAAGGACAACCACTTGAATGCGGTGGAGGATATTGGGAAGGCTTAGGATATTTACAATCTATATTTACAATCTTTCTGGCAAGGATATTTTTGGCTATATTTACAACTACTTCATGACTAAGTTCATGAAGTAGACGTGAAAGAATACTTTAGCACTCTATATTTACAATCTTTCTGGCAAGGATATTTATTTATAAACATTTATGGTATTTAAATGTGCAATGGATTGCACATTTTTTTTTGTGGTTAGACGCACATTTAATAGTTTTGTGCGCAAAACTAAGTTTTGAGGATACTGTGGATTTTTTGGACAATTTCATCTTACTTCTTTGGTGATTATGAAAACATATTGGTGGGATTATTGAAATGGATCATTTGATTTTGTTGATTATATGAAAACATATTTCACGAAGTTATGCACTTCTTAAACGTAACAGTGCATGTGTATTATTATGTGGCTACCTGTTTTTTAAACATGCACAATTTGATTAAACCATTGAAGCATATGCGATCAAAATCCTGGAATATTGAATGAATACAATGACCTAAAATATCTGTAACATGTTTTATTTAACATCAGTGCATTGTGAATTGTATTTTTGACTACACGTTGGGGTGATACCAATGAATTGTCATTTGTGTTGTATTATATTTTTAAAAACAGGAAGAATTAATTTTGACAATGCACTTTTGGGTAAAACCAATGAACGATTTGGTGATAACAATGCACAATCAATAGTAATTTCTAATATAACGTAATACAAACACAAAAAACAACATAGACCCAATATATTAAAAAGAATAAGAATTTGTACTTGTGAAAATGACAAGTACTAAAAAATAATAAAAAAGTGAAATCATTCCTACAAGCTAGAAAACAATTACTAAACATGAATAAAAAAATGATTATTCCTCCAAGTTCAAAGGACAATTCCTACTGTCATGATACCCTTTTTGATTACATGTTCTACATAATCTCTTAGTCTTTTGGATCACTTCAATTGTCTTCTCCTTCGAGCCTGCTGAGGTGGATGCACGCTCACTTCAGTAGGAATCGATGACCCATAAAAGCCTTTGATGTCATCTCTTTTAGAAGTTGTTGCTGCACTACTTGTTTGAGAGGTAGACAATAATTCTTTTTGCACCTTAATTGCATCTGAAAATTGCTTCAACAAATGAGGTTGCTGGTCAATCATTCCAATACAGAAATTAATACCAGACCACAATGTCTTCATAGTTAGGGTTTGTTCTTCACTTCCAACACACTGTTGAAAAACACCGTCTTCGAATGCATTCGCAGGCGTTAAAATTGAATCTTTGCACCATCGACGTAACACATACCTATCTGGAATTGCATTGACCTTCTTATCTTTCAATACATAAAATATATGACGACACAATATCCTAAGCCTTTCAAAATGTTTGAAAGAGTAAAGTGTAGTACCGTCACTAGTATTATGCACAAGCGTGAAATTAAAACCTCCCTCATCTGATATAATGGTATACTTAAACACACAACCTTTGAGGGCTAAGCACAACATAACAAAAGCAGGCACAATCCCCACTCTGCTTGCAAACCCAATGTCGTCCACAGCTTTTAGAACCATCTTCTTAACAATGCCATGGCGACCCTTCCCTCGAAACGGATCCCTCTCTCCTTCATTCTTCCCAGGTCGAAATCCACACTCGTCCCGTGGCTGTAAACCCTTTAAGGCCCGAAATGATCTCCTGTTCTCTATGACCCATAATCTCAACTACTCCGCTAACGAAGTCCGCTCTTCATTACAGGATGACTGCAATCCGAATCCCCCGCAGGAAGCTGTTCTCAAGGCAATTTCAGGTTCAATTTTAGCCTTATTCAAATGTTCCTTATCTGTTTTCCAGTGTCTTTAGGTGAATCGGCTCATTATATTGAGCAATAAAGTCCCGAGCTCTCTTAGGTGAAAATCAGACACATGAAAAAAGATGATTCATAATTATTGTGATTAGGATAATGATATATGCAGTGTAAGAAAATTCTGGGAATGGTAAAAGATTTCTCAAATTTACCCCAATTGGAGGAGGCTAAGGAGCCATGGGGGGCATTTTGGAGTAAAGTTTGAGAAACACTTACCATTCCCTGAACTTTCTGAGTTTCTGGACTCCCTCCTCACTTATCAATGTGCTTGTAATTAGATTGTTAAGTGGTTATACAACTTTTCTAAACAATTCATCCGTTTTCATAGTAATTAGTTTTTTGCCAATTGTAATGATTATACACTTGGACAAAGACTGATTAGATGACAATATCGGTCTGTAGCCTTGCAAAAAGAGTGATGTTATGCTTAAATTATTAGTAGAATTTAGAATTGAGATGAGGCGGAAAAAGTTTAAAGTTGGCATTACATGATCTCTTGAATTTACAAAATGAGTTATTTGTTGAACAATTTATTCAAGTTATCTTCTTTATCTTTCTATGTTCTTATGTTATTTTTATCTTGTATCTTTCTTATGTTCTTTCAGCTTTTATCTTTCTTATGTTATTTTTATCTTATACTACTTCCGTCCCGAAAAGGTTTGTCATATTAACTTTTCTTGATTAATGATGGAAAAATATTTTGAATAAGAAACATTTTGATATATTTTTGAGAATTCCCTAACTAGGGCTAAAAGGTGACAAAAGTGGAAAAGTAAGACCATAAACTTCCGTAGGAGTAAAACAAACCGAGTAGACAAAAGTACCCTTAATGAAAGTCTGGTTTATTTATTAACTAATGCTGCACTAGGAGTACATCTGTATATATTACTGCACGAGATTATTTAACATATACATTACTGCACCATATGAGGTACGTACAGTCACCATCTCCTGTGCCGCCACAACTAGCCACCCGCTGCCACCTCCACTGCTGGCCGCCACCGCCGGCTGCTACATCCATCGCCGGCCGCCGTACCATTGCCGGTGTCGCCTAATACGCCGCCGCTCTCCGACGAGTCGTCATATGGATCCGCCTTGTCTTCCATCGCCACCACATCTCCTCTTGGACTGCCGCCATCTCCTATACCACCACCACAAATTTTTCTAGTGAAATATTATTTAATGCCATGTTAAAAGCATAATGTCTTTTTGTAAAAAATACATGACATTAATTGTTCTAAATATGGCATTATTTGCTTAACATATTCAAGTAAAATTGCCATCTTTATGAAGTTAATGTCAACTTCACAAATGCAAAATGACATTATTTGCCAAACATATTGAAAAACATGTCATTTTAAAAATAATTGCCTTTTTAATAATTTTTCAAAACAACATTGTTTTGAAATAAATTTTCGAAAAATAAACATTAGTTATAGAATTTTCAGATCCAAATTCATTAAATTTAAATTTTAAAATAAAGAAATTAAAACTCATCATCATCATTGCCCCAGTGCCGCAAAGGCTCCCTGTACTAAAGCACAAAGGGACTGTTTTCGGATGACCCAGAGTGAAAATTGCGACCAAAATTGCATGGACTGAGTGCTGCTTCATAGCAAAGAAGCGCAAACAGACTGAACAGTTTAGTGAGCCAGAGGAAGAAGAAGAAAAGAAGGATAAAAAAGTTAGACCTGAAATTTTCATATCAACAGCTTGTGATGCCTCAGATTTTCTACTCTCAAACTTCCAAACCTATATTTAAAAATTTCCATTTTGAATCTGGAAAAAAAATATAGAGGAAGAAGAAGAAAATAAGGAGGTTGAAAGGTTGAAGAGAAAGAGAAGATGAAAGATATTTACCGTAAAAAGGATTCGCACCACGTCGCCGGAGTCGCACCACGTCACCGGAGTCGCACCACGTCGCCGGAGTCGCACATGCTGGTGGAATAGAAGTTATGATGTTTGTTTGTGGGATTGGGGCTGCCGAGCTGCCGGAGTAGAACATCTGATATTTGTTTGTGGGATTGGGGCTGCCGGACTAGAAGATCTGATATTTGTTTGTGGGATTGGGGCTGCCGGATTAGAAGATCTGATATTTGTTTGTGGGATTGAGGGGAAGAGAGAGGGAGAGAAGAGAGAGTCGAGAAAAAAAAGGGTTGGGGTGCGGCGTAAGAAATGAGAGAGAGAGAGAGAGAGAGAGAGAGAGGTTGGGAGGTGATAAGTGAAAGAGAAAAGAGACGGGAAAGGGTTCGAAAATTAAAGAGGGGTATAATTGGAGCATTCAATTAATAGCTCCTATTCAGGGAATAAATTATTAGGAACTCCAATTTTAGATCTTCCTTATTATTTTAGTCATATTTAGGGTAATAACTTTAAATATTTTACATTTAAAATGATTTCGTATTAAGAAATATCATTAGTCAAAGTTAATTGCCATTGAACAAAAAAAGTCAATTTGGCGAACCTTTTTGGGACGGAGGTGGTATTTATCTAATTATCTTTATCTTCTCCATTTTATCTTACTTTATCTTTTTTAGTTTTCTTATCTTTTTTCTATTTTTGGCTCTGATACCATGACTCGATTCATGTTAGCCGACCCCAAAATCTTTTGAGAATAAGCCTGGATGTTATTGTTTGTCGTTGTATTATCTTTGATTCATGTAAGAATACATTAAAAAGTAAATATCACCCTTTCCCTTGGCTTCCATCCACTCCCTTTTAGTGGTTAATTTATGTTTTATGTTTTATCTCTTCATTGTTTGAATATTTTCAGTATATTTTTTTCATGAATGTAGACTGACTATTGATGGGGTTGCAGAAGTGTCAAAGGTAGAAGGAAGGGTTGGACAAACCACAAATTTAGTTATGGGAGGGACTGTTCATGATGATTCAACTAATGAGTGGCTTATCTTGGATAAAAAGGTAATCTTTAAGATAACATCTTTTGCGAAGGCGCTAAATGGGACCTGCTTAATTGGGTGTCTATCAAGTCTAAAATTCTAAATGTGATCAGACGTAGGTACTTCGTATAGCCCAATTGTTTAGACTGGTATGTTAAGTGTTGATTAAGGAAATGTCATAGTCAAGGTAGTCAAAGTCGAAAGGCGCACCTGAAGCGCTAGAAGTCTTCTAGCGCCTCATCGCCTGAGGCGCAAGGTGCAAAAAGGCGCTCGCCTGACTCGGGTGAAGCGCATTACTTATATAAAATCACATATACTATTCTATAATTACCAAATAGGATGTATGTAACATCATATTGAACCAAATGCATAAAAAAGCTAGGATTCACCAAAATAAAGTCATGATTTACAAAAATAAAAGTTCAAATTTAGAATTCATGGCTTTAATACTAAAATAAAAGACACTGAAATCCAAGCCTATTTCCCTCGGTTAAACTTGTGAAGGACTATTCGTCATTAAAAGAGGACTCAGTTTCTTCTCCATTATCTGATTTATATTCCTCAACATCGTCTTCAATTTCTTCCTCACTTTCCTCATCCACAAGCCTACGAGTATTACTTAAACTCGCATTTCTGGAGTGCTTTCTAGTATATCTTATTGGTTCTTCTGCTCCCGTTGCTCTACTCACAGCACCCCACGTCAAGCCATCACCTTCATCATCACTGAAAACCAAGTCATCTGCTGCACTTCCATTCACGTTTCCGACCAACCACTCATTGCAATCATTGATGTTATTTAAAGCAATCAGATCTGTGATATCTTTAGAGTCAAAACGAGCTTTTAAAGTTGCATTGTACTTCACAAATACTAAGTCATTTAGCTTCTTCATTCCTAGCATGTTCCTTCTCTTTGTGTGAATCTAGAACATAAAGAAATATACATTACTTCTTTTAAATGTTTAATACTTGATTCCTAGAAGTTGCAAGTTCAAAACTTACTTGTTCAAACACGCTCCAATTGCGTTCGCAGCCTGAAGAACTACAAGTCAGGCTAAGAACTCTCATTGCCAGCTTTTGTAAGCTTGGAGTTGTGCTTCCATACAAGCGCCACCATTCAGCTGCATTTCTCACATGCAAAAAGAAACCATTAACATAGTGTAGAGTGCAGAAATAAAGATGCTATATACTGCCTACTGCATAAAGCATATATATTATGAAGAAACTATATATATATATATATATATATATATATATATATATATATATATATATAGGGAAGAGTTCAAATAAAAAGACATCTTCCTGTGCAAAGTGCAAAGATATGCACTTTTGCATGTTTCGCTTGCACTTTTGCGTGTTTCGCTTGCACCTTTACCGCGAAAAAGTGTAACATATTTACGAATTTGCCACCGCGATTTTGGTCGAATTTTGTGCATTTTTGGCTCATTTTGAGCCATTAGATGTGGAAATGAATGCACAAGATTCATTCTCACTTTGCATGGGAAGAGGTCTTTGTATTTGAACTATCCCCTATACATACATATATATATGTATGACTGCCTACTGGCAGTAATTTAAGTTGTGCATAAATTACCCGGTGATTTAGTCTTTCTTGTTAAAATTGCCAAATTGATTCCAAAAAGGCCTTCAGCTCTTGTATATTTGGACAGCTCATCAATAATCTCCAGTTGCTCGCTTTGTTGTGGAACTAACTTTGCGATACAAGCATAGAGTCCAGTTGTGATCTCATTATTGAATTCAGCTTGGGGATCATCATAGAAACAGGCTGGATTGAGATATTGACCAGCCGCATGTAGTGGATGATGGAGTTGATCTTCCCATCTTGTATCTATGATTTCGAAAGTAGCTTTGTAGTTCTCTTCTCTTCCATTGAAAGCCTTTATTATAGCTTCTTTGGCTCTATCCATCGCTTCATATATGTCCCATTGCCGACTTCCTCTCATTGTCTACGAGTCGAAGAACTTTAACAAGAGGACCCATACGTTTGAGTATGTAATATGCATTATCCCAAAAGGTAGGCATTAGCATACTGTCTTCAACTTGTTTCACACCTCTCTCTTTAGTCCACTTGCTGGAATTCCAGTCATTCTTAGAGAACAAAGCCCGAAGATTCATTTTTTCCTTATAGATGTTCTTTAAAGTGAGGTAGCATGTGCAGAATCTTGTCTTCCCGGTCTTATTAGATTTCTCTACCCCGTATACCTCCTCATTAAATTAAACAATCCCGTTCGATTATAAATAAAGTTAGTCACACTCATTGCCTGTTAGGTCTTTGAAACCAAAGGCAGCTTCCCAATGTCCTCTCTAGCATTAGATCAATGCAATGCGCACCGCACGGCGTCCAATATATTTTTGGCCTCTTGATTTCTAATAGCTTACCACCTAACTTAAAATTAGTACCATTATCGGTAACAACTTGCACAATGTTTGCTTCCCCAACATATTCAACAAATTCATCCAATAGCTCTAGTACCTTTGGACCGGTTTTTGAGTATGAAGAGGCATCCACAGATTTTATAAACACACAACCAGCCAAAGAATGAACCAAGAAGTTAACAATGCACTGACCTGTGGTGCTAGTCCAGCCATCTGCCATTATTGAGCAGCCACGTTTGACCCATATAGCTCTATGGTCAGCTAGCATGTTTTGGATGTTAGCAACTTCTTTCTTCAAACATGTGACCCGCACTTCATGGTAGCTAGGGGGCTTCAAATTAGGACCATATTGTCCTATTGAGTATTGCCTCGATAGCACATTTAAAAGAATGGGACCGGGCAACATTGAAAGGAATCCCATTCTCGTAAAAACAGTTTGCTATATATTGTATAGCTACTTCTCTTCTTTGCTTATCCAACTTCTCATCGATCTTCAATTGCTTCAGTCTTCCTTGCTTTCGCAGCTCCACTACTGTTTCTGGCTTCTTGAAGATAAAAGAGTCCATAGGACCTTTTACTTTTCCTTTCTTTGAAGATGCTTTGGTCTGCTGCAGCTGCACATGACAAGGTCTTTTTAGCTTGCCTCTAGGATCTTTCTGCAGCTCCTCAGGTTCACTGTCATCATCTTCCAGATCATGGAATGCATCAAAATCCGGATGTTCTGGCAGTTTATCATAATTGATCTTGGCATCTTTTTTTTATTGCATATATTCCCTAAGCATCTTTTTCACATCTTCTGGACATTTCAAGCAAGCCTTCACATTTCTATCCCCTCCTATTTGATGAAGCTTTGCCCGGTAAATCACTCCATTAGTTACTTTTCCAACCCAGTAACTGAATTAGGATCTTTTTTGTTAACTAAGTAATTGTGTTTCCAAGCCGGGTCAGTTTTTGTAGAGTTTTCACTTTCAGCACCACCCACAAAACTTGTTCCACCTTCCATATGTTGGGCGGTAGGCTTCGGCCCATTCAGATCTGGGAGCCAAATAAACAAAGAGCAGCAGCCTGCTCTAGTTAAATGTGCAGGCAGCCCTAGTTGGGCCTGTTTCTTTGGTGGCAGTCAGGCCCAGAACCTTATTAAGTGTTTTACCCTAATTGTTTGCCTATATATATTGACTCCTGTACTTGTAAACTATGACTTGTATTATTCATCATCTCAATAAGAAAGAAAACCCTAGTTGCCCCCGTGGATTAGGTCAGTAACACTTACTGGCTGAACCACATTATATTTGTGTGCCGTTCTTCTCGTTCTTTTCTAGTTTTTCAGATTCATGCGTGTGTGAGATCTAACCCTAACAACTGGTATCAAAGCAAGGTTAGCCACCACCACATATTCGACCACCACCACTGCTGCCGCCCTGCGTCTTCAGCCTCCTCGTGCCACCAACAGTGTGCTGCCGCAGAAGAATATAGCCGGCAGATTGTGAAGGACTGGGACAATGGCAGATGATGGAAAAACCAAAGTCGAGAAGTTTGATGGACAAGATTTTGGATGGTGGAAGATGCAAATTGAGGATTTGCTGTGTCAGAAGGATTTGGATCAAGCTTTGACAGGGAAAAGACCAGAAAAGATGAGTGATGATGAATGGGCTGCTCTAGACAGGAAAGCTTTGGCTGTTATCAAATTTACCCTAGCCAAGAGTGTGGCGTTTAACATCTTGAAGGAGACTACTGCATGTGGTTTGATGAAGGCTTTGTCAAACATGTATGAGAAACCATCGGCATCAAACAAGGTATTTCTGATAAGACAGCTAGTAAACACCAGAATGAAAGAAGGTGCATTCGTTACCTCACACGTTAATGAGTTTAATACTATCATATCCCGTTTACTATCTGTTGATATGAAGTTTGAAGATGAAGTCCAAGCTTTATTCTTGTTATCCTCGTTACAAGAAAGTTGGTCAGGAACAGTCACTGCGATTAGGGTTCAACTGGAACCTCTAAACTCACATTTGAGGGCATTCGTGACATTATCCTAGGAGAGGATATAAGAAGGAGGAGTTCTGGAGAATCTTCTAGTGCTTTGTTAAACACTGAAAGGAGAGGTAGAAAGAAAGAAAAGGGAAATGGCAGAGGCAGATCAAAGTCTAGAAAGAGGAGCCAGTCAAAACGGAGAAAAGATATTCAATGCTGGAACTGCAAAGAAAATGGGCATTTCAGAAATCAATGCCCTAAATCTTCAGAAAGGAAGGAAGTAAATGCAGCCACTGACGATTCAGATGATGCCCTTATCTGTTGTGTTGAAAACTCAACAGAAACGTGGATTATGGATTCTGGTGCATCATTTCATGCTACTTTCAGCACGAAGGCGATGAAGAATCTACGGACAGGTAATTTTGGTAAAGTTCGTTTGGCTAATAACAACTCTCTTGACATCACAGGGATGGGTGACATAGACTTAAAGACTTCATTGGGCACCACTTGGACATTGAAAGACGTTCGGGTCATTCCAAGCCTTAAGAAGATGCTGATTTCTATTGGGCAGTTGGATGATCAGGGATTTGATGTTACTTTTGGTGAAGGACAATGGAAAGTTGTCAAGGAGAATCTTGTAATCGCTAGAGG